GAAAACAATTGATAAATAAATAAAAGATGTATCATCTATCCATAGATAAGGCAACTTTTTTACGTATTGCATGGATTGTTACAATACAAACATAGACGAGACCAAGTATTACTCATGGAATGAATATGTTTCTGCATTACCCGAAGAACAAAATAAACTCATTTTACTACACGTCAACATTCGTTCTTTGATTAAAAATTACCAACAAATAGATTACATTATAGCAAGAAGCCCGACCATTATACACCTGATTATTATAACAGAGGCAAACATAACCGATGCAATGTCAAGTTTATTCGAAATAAAGGAGTATATTATGTACACAGAACTACGAAACGAAAGGAAGGGAGGTGGCATTGTTGTTTATGCTCATAGGAGTATTTCATTCATGCAAAAACCAGTGAATACGGTAAACTTCGAGTGTTTGTGTGGTGAGGTAACAACTTCTTATGGCTATAAAACTAACTTGTGTTCTATTTATAGACCGCCTAACCTAAATAAGAATAATTTTATTAATGAACTAACACAGTTTTTATCCTCGTATCCTACAAACGTGAATTGTATTTTAGCAGGCGATACTAACATAGATATAAGTTGTACAAATAATACTGTCAAGTCTTACCTTAACAGCCTAAACGGACTGGGTTTTGAAAGCTGTATAACACAATTTACCAGAATCGAGACGAATATAAATGCCACATCTAAATCATGTATAGATCATTTGTTCGTTCGTGACGTGTGCGGCCGAGGTACGCAAGGTCACTCAATACATGCTGCGGTTGTGTGTGACTCATTAGCCGATCATTTCATAACAGGCCTAACGATAACCAGTTCCAGATGCAAAAACAATTATAAAGTTGTAAATAGATTAAATAATGATGAAGTAAAAAAGGAACTAAGTAGCATTGATTGGAAACCTGCACTCGGCTGCGCCGAACCCAACGAAATAATTGATTTTATTGTAAATAAAATACAGTCAGTCTATAAAAAATGTACCTATCAATCCAAAATAATAAATGTAAAGAAACACGAATGTAATTGGATAACCGAGAAATTAATATCAATGAGTAATAGAAAAAAAGAACTATTGAAAATACACTTAAGCGACACAAACAATAAACAAAATGAACTAGTATACAAAAGATATAGAAATAAAACTAATAGGATGTTAAACAAGGCTAGAAATAACTCGATCAAAAAGGATATTTGTGATAATTTTAAGAACCCAAGGGAGTTATGGAATATTATTAATAAATTGACCGGTAGAATTGTTAAATCGATTGATGATTTGCTTCTTAAATATTTCAAGCTACCCGCAAAAATACTGACAAATAAGTTTGCACGCGATTTTGATAACAATGTTAAGAATGTTATTAACACTTGTAATGAGCCATTATTGAATGAGAAAACATACATAAATACACCGATAATGTCGTTAAGACTTAAGAAAATTAATGAAGAAACTTTACATAAAATAGTCAAAAATATTAATGAAAAAAAAGTCCAGGGCACGACAAAATAAGGGCAACAGACATTAAATACGTATCTGACAAATTGACCCCAGTGCTCACTCACTTAATTAACACCTGTATTACTCGATCAATATATCCAGATAGGCTAAAGATAGGTCTCATTAGGCCGATACATAAAAAGGGTAAACATGATGATACAAATAATTATAGACCAATAACAATACTATCATGTATAAATAAAATAATTGAAAAATACTTTGGGCATTTAATAAATAACTTTCTTACGAGTAACAACATTCTGCATGAAAAACAGTACGGATTTCAAAGAAATAAAAGTACTTCTCAGTTACTGGCAACTTTTTCAGATGAAATAAATAAGCACTTAGATAATAGGAACCATGTTTTAGCTGTTATGGTTGATTTTAGCAAAGCGTTTGATACATTAAATTTTGAAAAACTGTACCAAAAAATAAAAAAAAAAATGGAATTGCAAAATTATCATACAAATAGATATAATGCTGTAAGTATAGCCGGGGAGCAGAGCGACCAAATACGAACACAATATGGCACGGCCCAAGGATCGGTACTAGGACCGACAGAATATCTATTGTACGTAAATGATATGTGTAATGTATTCCGGCATGTCTCGGTGTACCAATTTGCCGATGATACGTGCTTGATCTCTGCTCATAAAGACATTATCAAGGCGCAAAGTATGATGCAGGACGATTTTGATACATTGTGCAAATGGGCTCATGATCTAGGATTATCAATTAATTATAGTAAAACTAAATTAATATATATACACTCGCCTTACAAAAAAGCAGCTTCATTGCCGATGATCGTCGCCCATGAGCACAGTTGTATGCATATAAACAATAATGCTTGTAAGTGTGGGAAGCTTGAAATCGTGAAAGAACACACCTACCTTGGACTAATAATAGATCATAAGTTTAACTGGAGATCACATGTTAACCTAATATGTAACAAGTTAAGAGCAATTTTGTCAAAACTATGTGTGCTCAAACATAAAGTGCCATATAGAACACTGAGACTTATGTATATGTCTTTAGCTGATTCGGTCATAAGTTATGGCTTAACTAGCTATGGAAGAACGTATAAAACATATCTAAATGATATATATAATTTGCAAATTAGAATTTTAAAAACAATTGTTCCTCTAAAAGTTAAATTCAAGAACAAAGATAACTATCACAACTTGTTTCATTATTGCAAGGTTTTGAGTATATTTGATAAGAGAGATTTAGCAATTGTAACTCAGTACAGTAGTGACATGTGTAAATTGAATACAACAAAAAGATTAAACACATTACGTAAACTAGACTATCTCCCTACCTTTGAAATACCAAAATGTCATAACGATTATGGTGAGAGAGTATGGAAGGTCAGTCTTGCCCGAATACTAAACAAGTTGCCAAAACACATAATTTGTAAACTGGAAAACAAAAATAAAAGGCAGACCTATAACATATTCAAGCGACATTTAATGAATTGTAATGAAATAGCAACTCCTTAACTGTACAATCTTTTCTATTTAAGTTTAAGATTAAGTTAAGATTTGTATAAAACTGTATTTTATGAGAAATAAACAGCTTTTTATTATTATTATTATTATTAGTAAAAAGTTTTACATAGTTAAATATTCTCATGATGCGGCCATAGTAAGAGTATATATACTTACAGTTTTATTTACAGGATTTAACTAAAAGTCCCTTTTTGTCTTAAAGCCTTTCAATTCAATCATCAATGTCGATTTTGCTGCACAAATTAATGTGTAAACAAGGTGCATTCTACGACCAATTAATCAGAAACCTTTTTGCTATAACTACTTATAGGTACAGTTCGTGGTATTACCGACCAACTGTGGGATTGCTAATTGGTATAAGGGTGAGCGCATTTGCTGATTTCGAATCGGTAAATAGTCTGCTCACTGAGGGTTGTCTAGTCTAGACAGTCTGCAGTAATTACACCATACAATAACTGCTATATTTGAAAACAAAAATATAGTTTTTCTTCGTAAAATATAAAAACAGTCTAGGGTTATTTGATAATAATTTTGTGCATGCCAGTATGTTGTTCGAAATAAACGATATTTTAGAACCAACTAGACCTAATTGCTTTATAATATCAGTAGAAAATAAGCAGGTGTAACGATACAAACGCTAAAATGATACTATACCTAAACACTGAGCGCTAATGAGAAAATAATTCAAGGTCTAACGATCCCTATGTCATCGTCGATAAGGTGTAAATTCCTGTAGGTACACATTACAGTATCACATTATTAAACACGGTTTGGCATGTCGCTAAAAAGCAATAATTATCAAAACGACTACCCACGCCCGAAGCACGCTACGAAACCTTGAAAAGCCGAAGGTCAAAACAATGAGTCCCTTCATCAGCTTATTAATACGAGGGCCAATTGTATCGTAAACACGTTGCCACCAACATTAGCAATTCATATGAAATAACACATAACAATAGTAATCAGGCGTTTGGTTATGAAAGAAAAATCACATTTCGTCGTCAGGCGAGGCGGTGCCAAGCACAGATTTCGTCGGCAATGTATCGTGAAATTAGTTTAGTGGCACTATATAATTACGCGCCCTCACTTTTTATAGTCCCTCGGTCGTTGCTCGAGGGTGCCGGCCCCCGGACCGGTCTGTTATGACGAAAATGTCAACCCGGTATGCGACTTGATGAATCGACACTATTTTAAGCATTTTCTCCTCAGTGTTTCTATGATAGCAGCTCTACAACAACAAACAATAACACGAATAGGGTTGTATCAAATGAAACACCAACAAACTGAAAGATACATTTCATAGATTTATTATATAAAATCTTAACGCTACATTTTGAATTTTTTAACTTAGTTTAGTAACATGTGAAATTTACAGAGCTATTACATAAGTATAGATAATAGTAATTAGTTATAATTATTGCGCAAGATATTCCCAAGAGGAGGGAAATCCTTAGTTTATTCACTAGAATACTTAAGTACTGAGTCTTAACTAATACAATAAACGACGAAGCTCAGATATTTCTTACGAATTTAATCTATTTCGATTTATGTATGTACATTATGATATGAGAGAAGTCTGAAAAATACTTTTATATAATATTTGCAAAACGAAAGCTTATAAGCACCTATTAGGCTATACTTTATTACTACTTTAGCAGTTATAGCGAAGGGCTCATTGTAATAACGGTCACAATAATTTTATCACGTTTTCTACAATACATACAACAAAATGAAATTTATTTTAATATCTAGATAGGTACCATAATGAGCAATCGAATAAATTAATACCCTTAAGTACAATTTATTTAAAGAGATGACAAACACATAATTTGAAGTAACGATGTATGCTACAGTGTTGTTGATAAAATTGTTTTAAAAAGTAATTCTAGTCAATACACTATTAAAACGTTCTATTGAAGAAATAAATAGTACTCTAAATTCAGATGCATAAGTACTATAATAAATTAAACTTAGTATTTTACAAAATTCTGGCAGCGGATATTAAATGGCGTTACTCGAAAAAATGTTTAGAAAAAATATATAGAGTACAGTATATAATTTTGATACTTTTTATATTTGACCGCTGCGAATGTAAATATTTTGGTGCGATAATGAATATATGTACAAGCTCTTAGGTACAATTGTATGATATGGAATCGAATAAATTGATTAGGTACTAGTCGATACTTGAAAAGTGAGCTAAAATGGGTTATACAGAAGTTTTGTACAAAAATATTCAGAGATACTTTTCTAAAATGTCTTAAATGTTCTACTTTGTGTTCTATATATTTACCTATAAAGTTTAAATTACATTTTTAAACTCTCATAAAACTGTTGTATTTTTGTCATTTCAATTATTTCTATACAGATTGGTTTAAACATTTCAGAATTATTTATTTTTTAAACGTAAAAGTATCGTTACTCTTTTGTTTTTAAAATTAAATATTTATTTTAGTTTAAAAGAGTATTTAGTCAGTTTTATGAGAGCTTTAGGAGTCGATGTATTACTTTCTAATATATTGCTGTGATCATAAATGAGATATTAGGTTGTGCAGATATACAAGTAGGTATCAGAGTACATAGTTTCACAACTTTGTAAGACACGGCTAATTAAAATATGTTTAGTAAACACATACTATAGATCTATTTGTGTTTTTACAAAAAATAAATGTTGCAGCTATATTAATCAGTGACAATTTTAGTCTTAGTAAGTCCACGATCAATACTTAAAAATATTTTTCCTAAACGAGTTTCTTATATATCACAGGCTTAAATTATACTCATTACCATTAGGGACGTGCATACTATACGTACACTTATAATAGATACAGTCAAACGAAATTAGGTAACTATTTACACAAACAGGGGAAAAATAATGAGGCGAACCCTCCCACAACCCTCGGAGATTTCAAATTACGACCGCGGTATACCAACACACGGCAATACATATCTTTGTATTCGAGTCGGTAGCTTACAACAAATAATCATTATTGATCAATTTACAAAAGTTTTAACATCAAGAATAATTATTCGTTTACTTCACATTTAAATAAACATACAGGATTCAAAATACAATAATTGATACAAAATTAAAATCTAAACAGAATTTAAATAAAATCTACAAACATTCAAAGTATTACCATCCCATAATTCTAACAATTGTTCTATCACTTAGCCAACGAACAAAGCGTACTTATAATTTCGATTACTAAATATTTTACATTCCATTTACCAACAATGCAACGCACAACGCTCTTTATATTCGTTCCTTTAAATTTTCATTAATAAAAATGTTCGTAAAAATTTCGAGTGTCCAATAATCACCTATTCATGTTCCCGCCGAGTGTTTGGAACGATGCACTATTGCAATAATTTAGTCAGTTTCACTACACTTTCGATACGTCTTTACAAAAGCTATAGGGAGTCACGTACGGTCGAATGCACTAAGTCTTGAGCTCGACGTACACAACTATGGAGACACTATGAGATCGTAATGGAGCGGATGATATTGACGGATTTCCTCACGAGAATATATTGAAGTACTTCAGGCCAGCCGAGACGTAAGGTATCGGTATAGCTCCTGCATAATAATTAACAGACTGAAACATGAGATAGGCGATGTTCAGAAGCTATCACACGATTTCGTTTGGATGTGTGTTCTGATTCGAGTCATTTTGTCTTGAGCATTGCTGAAAAAGAAAATAAATTCATTAGTATATCAGTCCATGGTTTTCAAATCTGATCAAATTAATGTTCGGATGAATTAAATAGTTACCTCTTGCTTTCGTTCCCAAGTTTTCATTGCGGTTTTATATTTTTCGAATTCATGACACCAATTCGAATAAATTTTCTGGTACTCATTGCTCTTTTCTGGGGGAGAACACCTGGAACAGAAAGATATTATTTTTATAACTGATATTACGTAACAGAACAAAGTAATGAATTTCTTAAGTAGTGTTTAATTACGTACCTATGAGTATCAACAGTGATATTGTAGGAGCATAGTAAAGATCCTCCCAACCAGCAATCGTATCTTCCTGCATCAGCTTCGTTCACCGAAATAATCAGCAAACCATGCTCCGACGTCTCAATGTACTTTTCAGGCTTACTGCAAACAAATAAAAACAATATAAACATTTTTATAAAGCATCAAGATTACTCCTTTCTACTACAAAGTATTAAATTCTGCGGTTTGAGGATTTGATGTTTTTGTTTAAAATTTTAATGAGACGTCCAGCGTTGGGGAATGCTTTCAATATTTATGAAGGATAGACTCACTTTGTGATTAATCTATATCTGAAATGAATCTGTTCATTACGAGTTCGTCGATTCTAAATCGAGGGGGGGCTGTCTGCGAACAAATTAACGTCGGCGCGCAAAAACAGTTGTAAAAACTCTTCAAGGGTTTTGTTTATGTAAATAAAGAGTTAAGAAGAATTTAGCTAACAAAAGTAAAGACAGAAAATTTAAAATAGGAATTTAAAGATACAAAAAACACGAAGACCGCCAAAGCGAAATGTTTCTCCGAATATATTTTTTCTCAATACAATATCACGCAGAAAGTCTCGTTGTTTGCCTATTCCATCGGGTGGCTTAACAAGTCCGTGGGTGAATAAAACATGGTAAATAAAACGCTAATACCGAAGTTTCCCCTTGCATTTTAATTGTGGCGGCGGAAGTGCGATAACCGAAGATTTGGAAGCCCTTTAATTAATGTTGTTGCATGCGTGTTCACTTACAGTATTTTCTGTATAACTTTAAAAGCTATTCAAATTGTATTTATCTTCGGGACTGTACCAGTGAAAATTACTTTGCAGGTGTAGGCAATTAAGTTGTGGGGCTTTAAGTGGAACGTTTAAAGTTTTTGGGCTCAGGGGATGCATTAAACAAGAAATGTCGGTTTATCAGGCAAATATATTAGATTCAGTCGGAGTTTCGGTTCACGGTTTACGCGTTAATTGAAGAGAGCTCGTGAATTTCAAGCAAAGTTTGTGTTAGGAAAGTTTTGGGCAACTAAACTTTTTAGTGACTTTAGTTCTCGTGGAAAATTTAACGCTCCCCGTATTGTATTATTGTTAACTTATTTTAGGTGTTTGAACTAGTGATACTAATTGTGTTGAAGTAGTTTCGTAGTTAATGATCTAAAGCAATTACTACTACGAATTAAATTTAAACCATTTGGAAGCCGCTACTCGAAAGTTATTTTAAACATAATTATTCATTTATTGTACCTCTATTTGTGCTAATGTAGTTTGCTACACTAACATAAAAAAATAATATTCAATGTCTAATCAACTTACTTGAATGTGATTGGATGTCTTCCCTTTTCTCTAGAGTAGTGGTACCACGTGACGGCTCTCGGCTGCAACACTTCTGGCATTTTGACGAAGCTGCCGAGATGAAGACTCTGGCCCCAAGTCGCTGATACGCTCTTACGAGCAATAGAAGAGTCGCAGATATCTGCGGTTTCGTTGGCTACATCCTGTATAAGTCTTTGGGAAAAATGGAATAATTAGAAATAATATCAATAACAGGATGTCTAGAATTGATTTACTGTTGCTACGTACCAAATATTATTTATTAAAAGTCTAAGTATGTTTCGGAGCCGGCTACGCCGTAGACAAGCTCTACGCTAGCAACTACGGCGTAGTCGATTTTGGTGTCGTCATTTTAACTACGCGACACGGTCACAACAAAATAATGCGGTAGATTCATAATAAATTTGATACCACCGATTTATCACTATATCACTGTGTACAATATTGGGATTAGTTAATTTTCTTGCTTTTTATTGAGCACAAAATGTTTGATTATTACCATAAATCTAAATATTTTCAACTTACCCAGGCATATACTCCCTGCAGACACCGGCATCACGATCCCAACCGCAGTATGGATCGCGTGCGCATCTGACGCATGCGTCGTAGCGTCGCGCGCATAATGCCAATCGCAGTTGTAGTACTCGCCTATCCGATGCAGCATAGAGGGATCCGTGCATGCGAGATATTGCCATTGCCTAAGGGAATTCAATACAATAAATTAATATATTTAAATCTAATCCGTAGTATTTTATATCAAAAATTACTATTACAAAATAAGTTCGTAAAATATACCAGAGACTTTTTCGGTCAACAGGCATTTTAACACACAGTTACACAATGTTTTCCTCGGTCAGTGTTAAGTAGAGAAGCCTTGTAACAACCCGTATAAATATATATGTAATCCTGTCGCGTCCAATTGAAAGTAACAAAGAACTAAGCCACGAACATAAAACAAAACACGTTTGTACGCATGAAATATTTGAATAGACACAAATTTAGCCAATCAAAAGCAATTATACCTGAATAGGTTCTCCTGGAGTGACGTCAAAGATATCAAGCAACGCTGATTGGCTGTCACCATTCCGGTTCCATTGCACGATTTTGTGAATTTTCCCTTCATCTGCAACAGATAAAGACAAATACTTGATTATTATGCATTTCAGACTAGTAGTCGTAAATTCTACTTCAAGAAACCATTTTAACATATTTTTCTTTGTTATGGCAGCAGTTATCATCATCTTATACTTATTTTACGTAGCATACGTGTACAAAATCACAAACAGAAAATGTACATTATACAACACATCTACAATAACCAGCTATTGTCATACAAGACACTCGAAGCAAATCTAAGGCAACTCAATCAGTGCCTATAACACACCATCCATCTATTATCAGTCTCGCAACAGAGCTCGCTTGTCGAAAACGCTCAATTACCTAAATGTCATTTAGGAAACACGTATACATACATACAATATGTAGATAGGTATTTAGTTAATTAGTAGTATCGCGCACATAAGTGACACGTATCAGGAATTCCGGTAGTGCTGTGTTCCGCGATCTATTAGCAACATCTTAGCAGCCGATGTTTGCATTAATCACTGTTAATATTATAATTAAGTGCTAATTATCCGATAATGTATGGGTACGCTTTATTTATTGGTATAATGAACTTGATTTTGATAGGAGTTTCTAGAGGGATTCTGTTTACAGGTTTGTAAGTATATTTAGGTATGGTATCCGTTTTGGTTTAGTCATTTTCTGTATTAAATATTAACCAGAAAGAGGTAATGTCCAGAATACGATATTTGCTTATAATATTTATTTATCTCTCTGTCTATCTATTCTGGATTATACCTCTACATTCGTGATGCTATATTTTTTTTTAAACTCGCGATATCCTTTATACGTATTATTATCTACTCATTAGAAAATTATACTTGCTCACTTGTGTTCTCTTCACAATGACGAGTACACGTTCCTTATAATCAACGTCTGACATTAGTACCAGTAGCCTATACTTATCGATTGGAAAATAACAGAGCGATTAACTCGTAGTAGTTTCTCGGAATTAATATAAAGTTGTTGAACAATATTTCAACTGGGCCAATAACATCAAGATTAAGTCCTTAAACTATAATATTACTCCTGTACCTCATAGTTTGTATTGCGATACTCAATAAACAATCACTAGCTACAAATTCAAGGTGGAATTTCAACGGTTTCGTGATCGTCTGTAAACGTGTGAACACAAACGTCAAGAACGAACAGAACGCTCCCAACAGCTTGTTCAAACTGTCTGATAAATGGTGGGGACAACTCAAAGTGATGGCCCCAATTAATTCCCCTCCCTACAATAGTCACGAAACGTCCAACCTATTGTTTGTTTATCTAGATTTCAGCTATTCTAAAACGTAAAACTAACTTGAGCACTACTTTGTCTTTTGTTTGAATGTAGCTTTAATATTCTATTGTTCGGAATGATTAAGGTTTTCTACTAAATTCTTAACTCAATCCTGAATTCCTAATGTATATTTCACTTCAAGTTTGTCCAAAGTCTGCCCTTATCGGTTGACCTAAGCGACCTTTCTTCGCATAAACGATATTGGTCGTCAAATAAAGTTAGAAAATTGATCACACATCATACATGCAATCCCTACATTCGGCAAAAAATCCAGGCGTATTTTCCGGTCAGAGAATACAGAACAATCTCTGTAAACACAATCGATAGGCACAATAGCAATCAGCACGTGACCACGGCCTATGAAAGCCTCCATTGTACATAAGGTCACAGTCCCAGCTTCCTTACAAAGCGGCCGAATCAGGAGCGAATTAATATTCGGGCCACGAATCTTAATAGCTAATTGGATTAGAGGCATATAGCGAAATTACCTAACCGTGTTACGTACAATACTAAGGCTACGTGTCTCAGTGTGTCGCGTAAGACGGAATGGTTTGGGCCCCGTATTATTGTGTTCGTTAAGTTATAGCTGTTGGGTTATAAATCAGTAATTATATTGGGGTCCTTGTCGTTAATGAATGTGCCACATTGATTGTGTGAATTGCTCGCGTGTTATGTTCCAAGCTGATGTTTATTGTGCCATATTTTATGTAGTTGATTAGCGCAAAAATAGTGGCTAAATAATTTATAGAAATTTTCTTGTTCTGTAATAACAATAATCATAACATCAACTTGAAACTGACCCACTGGATGAAGAACTGAGTAATGCTCACGGTTAGACGGGAATTTTTAGATCTATATATTTTCATTGCTGTATAAGGCTCAAGTTTTTCACGTTTTATTCCATCACCGCGTGCTAGAGTAAAATGTCTAAATATTCTTAAAAGTAATGTGACTGTGAAAATTACATTGGTACTCTTTAGAAGTTTTGAAAAGCAGACGTCTATTTTCACGTAGGGTATACGTACATGTATCCATACTGAATAAATAGGTCTGTCTACTCGTTGTCTACAAAATGCAAAATGTTTTTCCCTTAATGTATGGGGGCATCATTTACGTTTAAAATTCTATGTCCACCACGTTGGTCAGGACCCTCGCCACCTGAATTTGAAATGGTCTCATCAGCAAGTATAAACTCTTAAAATCCGTAGGTAAGCTCATTTATGTCCGAATATTTATGGAGATGCAGGATCACCCTTAATGCTGTTTTACTCGTCATTTGAAATACTGCACTTGCTTTTAATATGAGATTGTGTAAGAAAATCTTTTACAGCAAGACAGATCTCAATAAAACAAACACTGAGTTTTTGGGCATTGTATTGAGAGTAGATCGAAAGAACACTTCCCAGGTTATTTGGATTCTCACATAATATATCGAGTCAATCTTTGACGAATTCAATTAACAAAATGTTCTTAACAGAATTAAAAAGAAACTGAAAAGTGTAAGTACATTAGGTATGCTACTATACATGTAGATACATATGTTGTGAGTATTTATATTTTCAGCTTCTTTAAATTATCACACATTTTACAATGCCTTGACTGCCTCGTTGGCCGAGTGGTAAGGGCAAGGGGTCTCGGGTTCGATTCCCGAGCCGGGCAAAGTATTACTGGGTTTAAAAAAAAATTCTCAGTAGTAGCACGGAGTCTGGAACTGTGCCCGGTATATGGCAATAGGCTCTCCCCCTATTACATGGGACTCATAACATAAATAGTGAAAGTGGGTGTTACATGGGTAGGGGTACATGTTACGTGGGTAGGCAGTGGCATAGTGTATACCTCTGCCTACCCTTTCGGGGATAAAAGGCTTGATTTTATGATGATGATGATGATTTTACAATGAAATATTATAGTGATTGAAAGACACACGATAAATTTTCATATAATACAGTGTAGCTACAAGCAGACAGACTGCAGGCGACACAAACGACATTATAATAACCTACCCGAGTCGACTCTTACAAGTGGTTTGACACGGCAAACAATCGCTCTTTACATCACACTTCATCCTCATTTTCATTCTATTCAAAGCTCATATTTTATCTGAATGATAAAATATCTACTGCTGTGGATATTTTTCTGGGAAAACCTTGTTTTTGAAGAATATTCGGGAATATCTTTTCGTATTATGTGTTCTATTTTAAGTTTAAATGTCATTTTATAGTGTGTGTAAAAAGACGACAACAGTTTTTTGTAGAAGTAGACGTCCAGTTTTTTTATATTAGGTATTGGTAATTTTATAATTTTAAAACAGAAAAATCCAATAAAGCAATAATTTTCCCCAACCTGAAGATCGCATTCGACCCCATGTTTGGTAGTAATGTCTCATGCCACATAATGATATAAAAATCCCCATCATGACAACAATGCTAAATTAAATTTATGTAAAACCAAACCGAAATCTTAAAAATAACCCTTCTGAAATAGTCGAATAGAGGGCCCAAAAACACCACTCAGCTTTTAAAACTGCTAAATCGACAACGACCCCTATTTTTTTCAATGCGGATTTCGCATTCCCAATGGGCATAGAAGAACTAACAATTTACTTCCTGCCACCCTATTTTGCTAAAGAAAGGATAATAAACTCGGGTAGTGTGTAGCATACGCATTAGTTTTATATTAATGGTGATGGTAAACTCAAAGGGCAGGTTTCTGATACTGATGTATAAATCACAAAGAGTTTGAATGTCAAACAGATAGGAGAATTTGTTTGTTTTCTTTTTTTTATTGTCTAAGGTTTATTTTGCTCGTTCTATCATTATTTTAATACAAACTGTATCTTGTAAGTTTTAAGTTTTCAATATTAATATTCCCTTTTTCTGTTACCTTCACGTTACTTTTAGATTCATATAATAAAGTACATATTCGAATGAACAATAATTCTATACTAACTATTAGTAAATTGACAACACGAAACAATTCAGGTACAAATAACACGACCTAAACTGCCTCAAAACTTGCTAATACTTTAAGCAGTTGTATTAGTTACTTGACATACATAGTCACATGGAATTAACGAGATTAGAGCAATAAGTAACAAGGTGAGACATCAGGCTGACACCGGGCTCATTAACGTCGCGCATCGTGTGCGCATTGCTCCTGAGTGACGGAATCAACCCACCGTAATTATGTTTCCTGAATATCGTATAAGGAACTCGGTAATTGGAGCATGTTGTCTGTGAAATTCATGGCAACGCGTGATTTCTGAGCGGTAGAATTGGTTGAGTATGTTCTCAGCGATTTATTCAAGAGGAGTGACGGATGTCTGAAAGGAATTTGTGTGATAAGTCTGTTACCATTTTTATTTTAATGTTAATGATCAAGAAGAAATAGATAAAAATTAGTAAAAAAGTAAGCAAGGAAGTAAAGGTGTGTGAATGTTAATGTTAAAAGTGTAACATGTATTAAAGCTACAATAAAACATAATGCTGCGTCTCATTTTCTTTGTTCTGACAAAACATTTCTTAGCAACATAAATAAACCACCAAATTCACCTTTAGCAACAGAAATAAAACCGTACAATAACAACGTACAACAAGAGTGTCTCCACGTTTTGACGCACAAGTATCTTGATGCGATAATAGCTGGAACACGAGAAAGCATTCAACAAACTTGTCTGTAAGCAAATGTGGGGAGGCAGTACAAGGTACCGAACTCAA